CTCCTATTAATATATTGATATCTATTTACTCTGAATCGCAGATATAAGCGTAAATCGAAAACCGTTAGCCTTTCTAGCCTGAGCAGTTGTTATAGTTACACGCAGTAAGAGTAAGCAAATTACATCGTCACTATGTCGTGACATAATTATTCAATCACTTAGTGACAAGGAGCGAGAAGCCTGGGTCGTCATCGTTTCCTACTTCTTCTCAGAAGATTTAAATGCGATTTCTTTGACTTATTTCTCTCCAGACATCTAACGCTCGAAAACGAAGTGAAAGGTTGAAAATTTGGAAGGTTGAAATTCAGTTCAGTTTAGCTGGGGCATATTCGATCACATGAAGTGCATGCAAGCAAGCATATTTGATGGATTATAACGGTCGTTAAGTTGCCAATTTTTCAAATCTGTGTACGCGCGAAGTTACTCGCGCGTACTAAGAAAGCGAAACTGCTTCAACTGAGTTCGGAAAAGAGTGACTTTCTGGCTGTTGTGGTGAAATTGAACCACTTTTCTGAATTGGAATTTAAAAGCAATATTTTTTAAGCTGTCATTTGCAGTGCGGGTTTCAAGTAATCGGGTTCGTTTATGGTGAATTTATTGGTCGCCTTGCCAAGAAAGCTGAATTTGAAGTTTCCAACCTTTCACTTCGTTTAAGATATCTTGAAAGGAAAAGTCAACGAAATCGGATTTAAAATCTCTGGAACGAAGCAGGAAACAATGAAGTGAAGGCAAGAAAGTTTTATTTCGCATTACTTTTGAGTTTTCGTTCGCTACACCCTTTGTTAAAACCACACTATAACGATCTAAAACGATTAAATTTAATGGTCCGTTGCACCAAGTTCAATACATCAACACAGAACTCAAAAACTTCACAAATAGTGACTATAAATCAGAAAGAAATTAAAGTTGAAGAAACTGTGAGGTCTAAATAAATACATTTTATTTTCAATATTCAAAAAAAAACATTTCAAAGAAAAAGCCTCAAATTCCACGACTGGGAGGCGTCTGCTCCGTGGAGCTTAAGTCCTTGGCTGATTACTTAGAACTAACAAACTGAACCCTAATTTTCCCTGTTTCGATTTTATTCATCTCAGCGACTTTCTCTGAATCAGACCGGATCATCAGTAGAAATGTACGAAAAATGAAACAACTTAAGGCTGTTTTATTTTTTCCTTATTTTTACTAATTTTCTTTGTAAATTTTTCACTGTAATTATTTCAGGAGAGCTGAAATTTTTGGAAGAACTGCGGGAAAGAGAATGGTTTATTCTAACAAGAATCTGAGATCAAGCGACCTTTGAGCAGTCATGGATAATTTGATTGTTGATACTCAAACGGGACTGCAGTAAGCTTCAAAGGAGGTTCAACCTCTCCTGACGCTTTCTGCGGTCGTGTTTGAGATAATCTCTCTGAAGGTCTAAAGTTTTCTCTGGGTAAGTTGAGCAAGACGATTTTTCACAAAGGTGCCTGTTAATTCTTGATAGGGAATAATACATGGACGCGCGTAGCTATGGGATTTATCTTCGAGTGTTCAACTCGATAGCTCACCAATGAGATATAAAGTTGAACACGAGAAGAGAAATTCCACACCTACAAGCAACCATGAATTATTTCATTTATTAAATAACGACAACAGCCCTTTTCTTGAAAGAAAAATCGCTTTATTAATAGATGAAGATATTTGCGATCCATAGTCCCCGAAAAAAAGTCGTAGAGTGTGTTGGCGTTAAGGCTTCAAGATGAAAAACCAATGTTTTTGCAGCCATAATCGGAGAAAACTCGAAGGCGAGTGACGTGTCAGCAGCTGATTGGCGATATCAAACACAAGTGAAAAATAATCGTATATCTCACATGTATTGTTACGACTTTTTTCAGGGCTTGAAATCTTTACATAACACTGCAGCAAGAGGATGTTGATATTGTCATGACTACAGTTTATATGGTTGCGAGCAGTTAAGCAATAAAAAGCCCCAACGAAACGGTTGAATAAAATCAGTTAAAAAACTGATGTTTTTATAGTAGAAAACAAAGCGCGCTGGCCGCTCAAACATTCTCTCTAAGTGATTTTTCTTCAAAAGTAATTTCGTCATCGAGTTAAATTTTCTTCGTTCGCGCAATGCAAATTTGAATTAGAAGTTACAATTGAATAGGTTGGGTCAGCGGAAACATTTGAACCGCGCTCAAGAAGTCACAGGCACAAACCACAAACATATTGTCTCTATAAAGCAAACATAATTCTCACCCGGCTCATTTACATCCACAAACAACGCTACAACTAATAAGCGAACTTCATAACTTAAACTTTGAATATCTTTGTTATCTGGTAATAGCTGGCGTCAGCTCCTCACTGTGAGTGTGATGTCACGTAATGTCATTAAAGGGATTCACTTGCCTTCTCAGTTTAGCGAGGGACAGCATTAGTAGAAAAAGAGAATGCCAATAAAAGCTACTAATTGGGTTATTATTAACTAATTTTTGATTTTTTTTGAACGTGGTTGTTTGTAATTTCATTACTTACAATTCGAGGCAATTGGGCTGATAGTAAGTAAATTTTTCAATTTACGAGAAAGGAGTCTAGATTTGAACTTGTTCAAATAATCATAACATTTGGCTTAACAAAAAAGCTCCGCAACTTTTTAAAATTCCAAACAAAAGGGTGACAAATTATCATGAACAAAATCTCAAAATTAACTTAAAACAACTCGAGGTTAGGGTTCTTTGCCGTGATTGGCTAATTTGTGAAATCACGTGTGCGTGAATACAAAAAGAATCCCAAGGGTGAGAGAAAGAGAAAATTGCAATTTTAAATTTAAAAACTGATACATTTTCTACACTAACCGCTAAATTAACTAAAAGACGTTTCCTCTGCAAGCTTAAAAAAATTGACCTTGAAAAGGAGGCATATTTTGTTATTGATAAAAAGGTCTATGCCCGTTGTTATTTGGGTTCAACTAAATGAGCTGTGATCAGCAGCATATCTATGCTTCTGCAGTAATATGCTGATTGATGTAGTGAAAGGAAATGATTCATTTGCATCTGGAGGAGTGACAGTTTAGTGAAAGAGGGCAGAAGGTAATAAACCGTTTCAAAAACCCACCATATCACTCGAGACGACATAGAGAACCAAAATAAATAAGACTTATGTCAACCGACAACCCAGTCAAGGAATCAAAAGCTGCAATTTATTGTATTTTGAGTTATTTCCCTTCATCATTTGAATCAGCCGAGATCGACCGTCGTAAATTACAGCATATGTTAGAAATCAACTATTGTATCTAATAACTGCAGTCGAGGATTCTGTCAAATAAGTGTTCGAGAGCCATTTAAAGCATATAGAAATGAGGAAAACCATGAAATGCAAATATGGGAAGATAGATGAATACCAGAGTAAAATAAAAGATGATGTGCCTCAGATGGACGAAGGTTGGTTCAAACACAGGCAGACAAACCTGGTTTGAGGAAGCGTGATGTAAAAATGCCCAAATACTTTGCCTAAGAATCCTTGCTCATCTGCAAAAATAGAGAAAGGAATAAGTATTGTAGAGGATCTCAGTCAACTTTACGGTACTGTGATACTTAAAACTACTTTCCCAAAACGCACGGAGTGGCGGTGGTGACCTTATAAAGCTGGAGAGGAACAACACGGTTAATTCCCTCGCATCGCACGCTAATAAACCAAGAAAAGAAAGCTATAACCAAACCATTATATATAATAATGCAAAATAACAAAGATAACAAAAATATGTAAAAAACTGGTTCTGTCGACAGGAATCAAATAATCCCAGATCGTGAAAGTCTTATCCCACAAATGAGACTTTACGACAACTTTCAGCGTACGTAACTCACGTAGAAAAAAGGTTTTCGTTCTGTATCTGGTAAAAGATATAGTGTTCATGCCATAGCTGGAAGTATTCTTACAGAATTACGAAGGATATATATGGTTATATTGATTTTTCCGAAGTACAGAAGTGCACTCGTCTCACACGTCTTACGTACAGATACAGCTGTGACAACGTTCTTGCTCTGACACCAGTTTTTCTTCCTCTTTTGATTACGATATGTGGCTGGACTTGATATTTCAGCCACAGAAAGTAGTGATGACAAGCAGCAGTTAATGTGCTGAACAGCTCAAATCTTACGCAGCCAGAAACTACGTGTAACCAGAAAACAAAGACCGAAATATCTAGCCCTTTTAAAGAAGTTTAACTTACCAGTTTTCGATAGGGTTTCGGAGTTCCCTTGGTTCTGGGAAAGCTAGTCGTTCTTCTTAACAGAGCCAGTCACTTCAGATGCAGTGGATGGTTTAAGAATAGGAGCGTTCCCTGTGAATGCGACAGGTTAAATATCTTCCAAACTGTCTACTTATTGAATACCTGTTCCAAGACCAAACTGAACTTAAGTGCCGTTTGTTAAATCTGATTGTGATTTTGAGACTACAACTTGGGTTTAATTTCCCTGTCGACAGAGTTTTGCAAGTTGTCCACAAGAAAATCTGCGAGAAGCCGAAACGCCCTCTTAGCATAGGCTGCCAAATATTCTAGGATAAATGTCATCTCCTGACCTCCGCCAGTAGGGCTAACACAAACAAAGCCTAAATGCGCGCTTTGATCTCACGCATCTGACTGCATGGTCAGAAAGGAAGTTAAGTTCTGTTGGACAGAAGGAGGAGCCTACTGCCCCATAGCTACTTAACACGGTAGCTGCTCTCCGTTCCCTCGGGATGGTATAAAGAGGTCTGGTATGTAAGTTCGTTGGAGGAATTCTCACGACACTTTATTGATTTTAGTCAAACTTCTCGGCGAAGAGAGTTTCTCTGAGAGCAAAGTCAAGGCTCGACCAAATGTACTTTTCATTTACAGGAAAGGATCTGGGAACGAGATTAGGCTCGAACAAGGACCTCTGTTTGTTAGACAACAAGGACTTAATTTTTTTCTTCTTGTTTACCCGATCATTAGCCGAAGTATTCATACCTTTTGTCATCTCTAAGGATGCGTTGCCTGTCTTAGCAGAGGACTTTTTATCATTTGTCTTACATGACGGATGGCTTTCTTCTATCGATCGACAGGCACCGGCTACAAAAATGGAAATGCATTAAAACTGACGTGCTGATACTGTCTTCTACTCTAAGTTTTGGAAGATTTTGTGACCGAAAACTTTCCTCCTAACATTGTGAAACAATTTGAATTGCTGAACCAACAGGGACGACTTTTGACAAGACATTATATTCTCTCGCTCTTAACTTTTTAAATGGGTCAGGTAAATCTAATTTGCCAGTATATCTATGCGCACTTTTCTAAACCCACAAAAAGAGACGAGAAGACACAACATATGATTAATCCGCGAGATAAAACTTTCTCAAAAGTTTCCCACTACACCAGTGAGTTACATTTTTCAAAGGCAATATAGGAAGAAAAAAAGACACACACAACTCTTTTTCAGGGTTTTCAAAATTTTCGAACAACGTTATAGTTATTCCACAGGTACAAATTTTTTTCTGATATCACTGATATGGAACATACTGAATGAAAACTGTGACAAAATATTTTCAAAGAATTCTTACCTTTTTCCGCCGCAGTGGATGAGTTGCCTTTCTTAACAGGGGACATTTTCTTAACAGAGGACTCATCATCCGACTTTTCATTACCCTTAGAGTAGTATTCTTCTATTGATCGACAAGCTCCGCCTACAAAAATTGAAAGTCAATGAAACATTAAAACTTTGAAGTGCTGATGCTGTCTTCTTCTCTGAGTTTTGGAAGATTTTTCGAGAATCATGTTGTTAAACATTTTATACCTTTTCCGCCTTGGAGGATGAGTTTTCTTTCATTGCAAAATATTTTTCATCTTTTTCTTCTACATGGCTTTCATGCACAGCTCCATCTGGGTCGTAATTTAAGCCACCGGCTGCAAAGAAAGAAAGGTATCAACAACCTCAAAACTCAGACCACTATCATAGTTAACTGGAAAACATATGAAAGTAGCGTTTTCATAGAAATTTCACTCACCCTTTTGGGAGAAAGGTAGAAAGTTTCCATTGTTCCCAACCAGCCAGTTGTCATCCTTTTTAGCTCGACCTACTTCAGATGTAGATAGTCGTGCAAATATGGGAGGGAGAGGTGATAGATGGAGCCTGATGGGGCCACCTTTTTCTGAAAAAGATGCGACCGCGATTAGAATTTTTTCAAGAGATATTTTGCCTTTTACTTTGTTTCTTTATTTTTTGTGTGTGTTATTTCGTTGCTGTTACCTGCGGTAGACATGGAAAACGGATCAGCCGTTTTGCTGTCGCAACAGAATCCCTTATTTTGATCACCTTTATGTCTTTTTCTCAGGCAGGTGTCCTGCACAAAAGTTTCACTCGTTGGGACGCTGGTTGTAGATGATAACATTGACGGGCGAGGCTCGATGTTCTCTTTAGCTAAAATGAAAATAAATTAAATATTCCTGACAGATTTTCATTTGACAAATTCGTGGTTAGTCCATGCTGAAAACGTTCGTCATCACCCTCCCCCCACACCTTCCCCTCCCACAAGAAATAAGAGGCATCAATGATATCTTACGTAACAACTGACGTACCAGTTACTACAAGAGAGACAAAATGTTAAACCATCAACACCTTGTTCTGTCTTCTTTGCATTTGCTTCATCGCCTTTAGGCTTTTCTGTCTCTTTTATAAGCACATTATTTTTTTGTTCTAGGAGAAATCCCAGCTTTTTCACATTGAGCTATATAAGTTGCTTGTCTCCATAGAACGCATTAAAACTTGGATTTATTTCCGACACTAACCCTTTTTTTGTACGTTTTGACAGATATCGTATGCAACAACTTCCTTCCTAGCCTCGAATATGCCTATCCAGTCTCCATCCCAACGGTAAAATGATTTTTACATCTAGTGAGGCGTTGAGGTATTCATATCTGTTAGACTAGATCCAATTTGTTCAGAATGCAGCGTATCCCTACAAACTTTCTTAAACGTCACATGATATAAACTTTTTTAACGCCTTAATTAAGCTCCATTTAGCTTCTGTCAGTTATGTCAGTTTGAAATTTTTCTCCTGTGTCAGTCCGCTTAAATTATCTGATAAAATAACAATTAGAAAACGTGAAAATTTAAGATTTCTCACACGTTACGTCTTAATAAGAGTTATAGTTAAAACTGTTAAAATGTTCATCGGAGTCTTTTCCACGCCTACCAGTTTATGAATATGCCTACTCATAAGATCGCTTCACGACCTAGTATTTCTACTGTCACATCAGTACGTTTTGTGTTCAGATCTTCCTTTAATTGGTTCATCATATCCATTTTGTCGTTTAGCCTCTCTTTGTTTCTTCTTTCTTGAAGATCATACCGCTTTTTTTGGCCTCACTCTGAAGGAAACTGATCTGCTTAGAGTTAACATTTGCAAAGGAAATAATATAAATTATTTAAACTTTATGGCCTGAAAGCACTCTTGCAAATGGAAAAAACAAAATAAAAAACAAACAAACAACAAAAGAAACAAAGAAGCAACATCGTCAACAAATCAACTTTATCGGGTGTTACTGGCAATAAAACAAATACAAATACTTTTCTAGTGGTGAAAAGCGAAATAAATTGTCGTCTAACAATTCCTTCATTTTTTCTTCGGCATTAGCCACCGCCTTGAGGACCAAACTGTTCACATGGAAAAAAACACTTTCTTCCATTTCAATAATTTGGTCCTTAAGACAAGTGTTCTTCGTTAACAACTCGGATTTATCGGCTGAAAATGTCATTAAAACAGATAGTTTAAATAACTTCAGGAAGTACTAAAAACGAAAAAAAAGTCACCTGACTATTCTTTCACTTTTGCTTCGGCATTAGTCATTGTTTCTTCCATAATGACAACTTTTTCCTCAAGGCAACTGTTTTATTCAACAATTCTCTCTTATCGGCTGAAAATGGCAATAAAACAAATAAATCTAAAAAACATATTTGGTAAACTGATAAAAAGCAAAAGAAATTGCCACCTGACAGTTCTTCCATCCCAGTAATTTGGTCCTCAAGACAAGTGTTCTTCATTAGCAATTCTGTTTGTCTGGATTTTCTTTTTTTTCTTTTTCGATAGACGCAATGAAATAAATTACTAGCTACCTTTGTTAAAAATCGTGTTTTGCTTAATTTTGTGTTACCAAATATTAACCCGCTATGTTACACATACCTAGAGAAACCTCCAGTCTTTTACTGATTTTGTCAACCTCGTCTGCAGCTTTCTGCAGGCTCTTGTGAGAATTGCTCGTATCAATCGTTAATTTTTTTATGAGATCTTTGTACGTGTTTTGCTGAGACGTAAGCTGTTTAATTTTTTGATCTTTCTCACTGATTGTCTCCTCTGATGCAGAAAGAGTCGCTGAAATGAATAAAAAAAGGGAATATTACAATACCATTTGGTAAGGCATTTAATAATTATTAGCAGTCAGCCACAGACTTTAGAAGCTCCTTAGAGATAATACAAACGTCCCTCACATTGGAAATATCTCAGATTGTTTTTCAGCCACATCTTCGAGTTTTCCTAAAAATTGTATATTTTATTAATTTCGTATTGCCAAAAATGAGCCACATCTCCCCCTAATGAAAGCCAAGTCCAACAGAGAAAGTTTTGAAGTCGGCTAAAGATTTCCTCAGTTTGTTCAATCATTTTTTATTTTCCCTTCCAGCTCAGTGAAATCTCCTTCAGTTGACTACGCGAGAAGAGTTGATCGTTCATAATTATTAAAATTCTTTATTTCGGTTTCTAGCGATTGAGCTTAGCTCATCAGAGATCAATTGCATCTCTACTACTCCATGTTATTTCCGCCTTCGCTTCCTCTTCTTCTCAACCTACGATACATGACAAATGACTGGGATACAGTTGGTTCCACCCCTCCCCGATCTTACGTGCCAATTGATTCCTCAATCGGTTCCAAATTGTTTGTGAGAAGACCGGTGACCCACAACGAATGATTTTCTATAAACAAGATTTTCCTTTGGTTAAGTTTAGGTCAAGCAAATTGAATTCTGGGATGCAAACTTCATGGCTGCTACCCAGGTTTCTTGCTTTTCCTCATGATGTGGTTAAAATATCATGTTACGGCACCGTATGGACGCCATCTGTTTACCGCGCGTAACCATAATAACTGCTCAGACTGGAAGGAAATGCCATTTCGAGCGAAACGCTTATACCTGCGGTGTACACATGAGTAGTCTTTGGATATCACAAACGTCAGGTGGAGCTCAAAGCTTCCGGCGCTAGCAAATAGCAAGAGAAGAGGACAAGTTGTCTTCTTCGCCTGTAACGTGCTTGTACAAGAAGTGAACGAACATTCAGTTCATTGTATGTCCTTTCTAAGCCAACGTGTGGGTCACCGGTCTTCTCACAAACAATTTGGAACCGATTGAGGAATCAATTGGCACGTAAGATCGGGGAGGGGTGGAACCAACTGTATCCTAGTCATTTGTCATGTATCGTACGTTGAACGTAAATAATTACATAATATGCATTAGAGCTGCCACCTTTTTGAAACAGTCTTTTTATTTTGTATGACGCTTTTCTCTCTTAACCTTCTTAGTCTCCTTCAAGTCTTTAATTTCAGTCTGGAGAGACTCGTTTTCCTTTTCTTGCTGAATGCGTAGATCGTTCACTTTGTAACGTGATTCTTTTAGCTGATTTTCCAAGGCAGAATTCTTTTTAAAGAGTTTTTTTTCCCTCTCTAAAGTAATTTTAAAGCTAAGCTCAGTGGTGGATACTCGAATCGTTAATCCTAGAGTATGGTCTTAGATTGTCTAAAATCTACCAAATTTATGGAGCTGCTCAGATAAGCTTTAGAAAGTTTGATGGTCAGTTATGAGCAATGAGCCAACAATCAAGTGACTGAGCCGTGACGTCACTAAGCCACCTAGCCAGTCAGTAAGTTAGTCAGTCATTCAGCCAGTCAGTCAGCCAGTCAGTCGGTCGGTCGGTCAGTCAGTCAGCCAACCAGTCAGTCATTCTGGTCAGTCAGTCGGTCAGTCAGTTAGTCGGTCAGTCAGTCAGTAAATCAGTTAGCCACTCAGCCAGTCAGTCAGTTAGTCAGTCGGTCGGTCGGTCGGTCGGTCGGTCGGTCGCTCATTCGGCTGATCGGTTAGTCGTCTATTTGTTCGTAAGTCAGTTGGACAGTTAATCAATTAGAACGTGTATCAGTTTGACAGTCAACCCGTGCGTCGGTCAATCAGCTATATACAGTAACTCAAAAAGTCAATCAGTCGTGTGCGACCTGTCAGACACCCAACTGATGTAGTCGGTCAGACTAGGCTTTGAAGCCTTTATTTACTTTCAAAGGATTTTCTCTTTTCATTTCTTGTATCTCCGTCCTTTGCATAATCTCCTTCGAACTTTCAAAGTTGCAACTTTGAAAGTTTCTTATCAGCCAGGCTAAATTTTTTAATCTTATTTAAATAATCTTATTTAAAAACAGATCAGTTGTAAAGATGTCACCAGCACATTCACGAATACCCTGGTGCGTTCAGGCCGGGATGTGACTTAGCTTTCAAATACTTGATAGCTATATTCCTTCCCCGCTTTTTTTTTCTTTGTGGATTGATAAAAAAAAGTGGACAAAGGGCCTACAAATCGGACGATTATCTTCTCTTTTAAGAAAGCAATAAGCTTTGACAAGTTCTAAGTCAGTGGAGACAGGAGAAAAGGTAAGGAGGCGAGAAGGGGGTGCAAAAAAAAAGGGACGAGGATTGCACTAAGAAATGTGAGGAACAAACTCAGCCGTTTTTAGGGTTTTCTTCGCCCACTTACTCTTACGTTGGTCGGCACTGACCACCAGCCTGGATCAAAGTTGGAAGAAATAGATATCTTATCTAGGAATTGTTGTTCAAGGACCGCCATCTTTTCCTACAAATCTATCTCCATCTTACCTAGAACAAGGAAATTGGGTACCTTTGACGTTTATCTAAAACCCATTTTGTTTTGGACTAAATGTTAAACCAAAATAAGTAGCCAACAAGCACAAAAATGTTTTTCACCTATCCCACACGAATTAATGATGTCTGTCTTCTAACAGAGTCACTCCCAGCATTATTTATAATGGTCATTGAACTGAGTGGAGTGCAATTTGGGCTGAAATCATACGCGTGATTTGAAATCACAATTATGATTTCAGACCAAAATTGCACGACACGAGGTTTAATTTCCACTTTATTACATCCATTTTGAAATCGTCCAAATACAGGACTTGGTTAGTTCAAATATTTTATTAATGCAATACTGAGTCGGTTTGAAATTAAATTCATCCAGTTTTTGGGAGGAAAAAATAAGAGTTTGGGAAACAAAAGTTGCAAAATTTGCCACACGATACTCTTTGTCTTCCATTTTCCTGCAATTTGATCGTTTACTCTAAACAAGCCTTGAAATCTGAGTGGTTGTTTTGTTTTTAGTGTAGCCTCCTCATTGGCTGGGAAGAGCCAATCAGATTACAGGGACCACCAGTGATTTCCAAATAGGTGTAATAAAGTAAATAAACCCCTTCATGCGGCTGATAATGTCCGCGGGTGAGATATTGTTTGAAAATGGCAGATGTGAAATTTTGACCACAATTTTTCATCAGCCAAGGACATTATCAGCCGACAAACCAGGAAACAAGAGGGGGTTTATCTTTTTCTTTGTTCTTTCTGTTGAAGCCTCCCTGTGTAAACTCAGCTCAGCACAGGATCAATTAAATATTTTTACACATTTTGCGATTTCAAAATGGATATAATAAAGTGCTAATTGAACTTCGTGTTAGGCAATTTGAATCTGATATCATACCAGTGATTCAAATCAAACTCTCCCTTCGCGCCCGTTCGATGTTGAAATCACGGATATGATTTTAGACCAAACTTCACTCACCTCAGTTCAATGAGCGAGAAACATATATTAGATTATATAGACAGAATTAACATATATAGCATGTCGACTTAGCAGTTTCTGTAACTGGACGTTACTGAGGAAGTTTGTTTGCAAATTTTATCAAGAAAGTCAGATTTACGAGACAGTGGCCTGGCAGGTGCCGTTAGGACAAGAATAATTTTCGTTACATTCAGTTACAAATAAACACCAGGTAAAACGAGACGACTGTTTATTAGGTTGCAATAACATAACTATTTTTTCTCGTTACCAAGAAATCCGATTGTCCTCCTGGATAAAGTCTCATTTAAAATCGGTAAGTATCAATGTTTCTCGTTTGACGCTTGATGCTAAAGTTAGCTTATTAAACCCTAGATACAATTTCTTTTTTCTCAAACATCCTTTTGAGCAAAAAGACATGAAAATATTGTCGTATCAAGAAAGCTTCCATGTATTCGGCAAGTGACTGATTTATTCTGGCTTGGTTTCCCATGAGAGACAGTTATTGTAATAGAAGGACGGTTACACCTTTATAAACAAAATTTAACATTGAAATCAATTTGTGCAAGGAAAAAATGTGACAATATGAGCAGAGAAGCACACATGTATATATTATCTCGTGTTTATATTATTATTAAAAATGAAATCTTAATGGAAAAATCTAGAATTACAAGTTTTTAGCCAGAAAAAGATTTGTAGTACTTGACATTGTTAAGTTATAGAATCGCTGGAACTGTTCTAAATAAAACAATAACATTTTGAAGGAAGTTTCCGACACAAAACTGAGGATTTTGCAAAAAAAAAAAAAACTTCAGCGGAAAGTATGGCGGAAACTTTTAATGGAAAATTAGAAAAGTTAAAATTTCATGGAATTGCCAGTTTCCAAATAATCGTTCCCTCTTTTGTTTCGTCATAAAAAACGATGTATAAGATCCATTAAGAAAACACTTTGACATCTTTTAGCACACGACTTACAGATTGTTCAAACATTTTTAACAGAGAAAATGCTGTCGGAGGTTTTATGTCAATTCTGTAAAGAAAGTGCATTTTAATATTGATGGCTCAGCAGGTGCTGATAAGATGGAATACAAACCGCTGAAACTGAAGAAGCAAAAAAAAAAGACGACCGTTCATTAGGCTACTTTGAAAAATGAACGGAACAAAAAATTTGGCACGGGACGGAAAGCTGCGAATATTTGATGACCAGACATGTTCCCCTTCTTTGGTCGGTGGATTACGACAACAATCAATTTATTTGTCAACAACCAACATTCTCCTTTCCCTCACAGCATTTCTTGGAAATTCTGTCATCCTTGTTGCCCTTCATAAGGAATCTTGCCTTCATCCGCCGTCCAAACTTTTGTATCGATGTCTGGCAACAACTGATCTGTTGGTTGGCCTTGTATGCCAGCCTCTCCATGCTACTTATTGGATGTCTGTCTCTTACGAGCACTGGAACCTTTGTAGATTTGCATATGACACATTCTCCGTATCAGCCTATGCATTATGTTCAGTGTCGTTGTTAACGATGACGGCCATAAGCGTGGACAGACTTCTCGCCTTGTTGTTAGGGCTAAGGTACAGAGAACTCGTAACTTTGAAAAGTACTTATATCCTTGTAGCTACCTTTTGGGTGTTATCTTGTTTCACTGCGTTAAGCTACCCTTTAGATCACCGTATAGCCACGTGGTATGGCATTTTATTCATATCATCGTGCCTAGCCATCTCACTGGTCTCGTACACAAAGATTTTCCGCACGCTTATTCATCATCAGGCTCAAGTACAAGATCACGTCCAACAGCAGCCGAACCAACCAAACGCATTGAACATGGCGCAGTACAGGAAGGCAGTGTACAGTGCCGTGTGGGTGCAGTTAGCATTAGTTGTTTGTTATGTGCCATTTAGTATAGTGGAAACCGTGATCGCTCTAAGTAAAACATATTCATCACACCTAGTCATCAACTGGGGTTTAGCAATTGCGTTGATCTATTATAACTCAACGTTAAACCCGTTTATTTACTACTGGAGGATTCGGGAAGTAAGGAGAGCGGTGAAGAAGACAATCAGACGAGCACTTTACTTTTAATGTTTTCAAAGCTGACTTACACAGTCATGGTTATCTTTTTTAAATAAGAGAGAGCTCGTAGGATATTCTATTAGAAGGAAGAAATGGGAGACTCAATAAGCCGTCGTGCAAGCTGTCTTTGATATTATCTATTAATTCCTCATCGAAACATTTATCATCCGATAAGTATATGTAATCACATGAGGCCAAGTACTATTAAGGATTAATTGCACGAGAGTTTTCAAAATTTTCCAAAATTTTGAAAACTCAAGTGCAATTAATCCTTAATAGTACGAGGTCTCATGGGATTACTTGTTTATCAATAAAGGGCAAAATTTATACGAAGGAAAATCACGCGCGCAGTCTATTTTTATCTGGGAAGCCTGTTTAGCGCTACGGCAAATCATCAATCAAATTGAACTGACCAATCGATTCAATGAAATTTTATTCTCCAAAACTGTGTCGTGATACACTGCCAAAAGTCTAGAAAACAAAGCTCATTTCAACAGAGCGTTTCTGCCAACAGAAAAACAACAAAGTGCTTTTAACTGAACAAGGTAATCATGCCCTCTCTTGATTACTAAAAATGCCCTCGATTAAGAAAAAATGCCCTCTCTTTCAACCAATCAGCGCTCAGTAATTTTGCCCTTTATTGATAAGAAGCGAAAGCACTTATCCTGAATACAAAATACATAATCAAAAAGGAAAACATAACGGTTTGCATGCATGATAAAGAGGCAATCGAGATGTGATTTTGATTTTACTTCCCTGTCTAACTTTCTTTCTTTTCAAATCTCTCGTTTTTCCAAAATTTAACGTAACTTTTCAATCCTTTTATGCGTCCTGGCTAATTAATTACTTTTCAACTTTTAGTGGGCTAAGTTTCTGCAGAAACTGTGATGCTGCGTCAGTGAAGGGTATTACAAGATAATTTGGTTTTATCCACTAATTTGATAATGTAAATAGGCCACCATAAAGAGCTTCTGAAGCTCACTTTTCAAGTGCTAGCCTTTCGTCAGAGCGAATCAAATCCTCTTAACTTTGAAATGGTACATTTAACAATGGATTCGTGCGTTCATTAGGATCTGAAGCACGCGGGAAGTTTTGAGAGCTTGAAAGATAAGTAAGAGCTGCTTAAGACGTAGCTGAGAGCAACAAGAGGTTCCTAAATGATAAATTTTGTTTATAAAGGTGTAACCGTCATTCTATTACAATAACTGTCGCTGAAGGGAAACGCAGCGAGAATAAATCAGTCATCTGCCGAATACATGGAAGCTTTCTTGATACGACAATATTTTTCATGTCTTTTTTCTCAAAAGGATGTTTGAAAAAAAGAAATTGTATCTAGGGTTTTAATAAGTTAACTTAAGCATGATGTTATCCGGAAAAAATCACTATGAATCTGAAACGGAAATAAAGGAGCTGCAAAACGTAATTGATTACACAGTCAAATTTAAATATCTTGAAACAAGTTTGCCCCTGTGGCCATCATGATATAATAAATTTGAACATTTGTATAGCGAACTCCGAAAATGCCACGATTGAATTTTTTCCCAGGCTAACTGACATCACTATTATGAGCTATTACACTGTGAAAATAGAGTCATATTACAGGTGTCTTTTTATTTGTCTCCTATTATTGTTTTATACATATATGTTATTTGCCGGCTGGGAGGTCCGTATGGTGAAAAACTGTGACCGAGGTCTTGAAAATACTGCCCGAGGCCGTAGGCCGAGGGCAGCATTTTCAAGACCGAGGTCACAGTTTTTCACCATACGGACCGACCCTTAGCCGGTAAATAACATATTTATTGTTTTTAAACTTGACGAAATTCTTTCCGAAAGAACGCGAATGATTTATGGCCGTAAATACGGCAAGATCTTCCATAAACTGAACAATTTTTGAGTCAGTAAATGGTAGTTGAAATAGAGGTGATGCAAATTTAAGAGAGATGCCTCAGCGAAACATTTTCATTTCCGTAACGATAAAGGTGATTTAAAAGGCTTCCAAACAAACTTTGAAACATTATTTTTACAAGTATCTGTCACAATCTGACACCTGTCAATTAGAGAGCGCGCAAGAAAAAAAAAGCGTAGGAACATTTGAAAACCAACAGAACTAGTTTGGCAAGGACTGTCACGACAATATTTTCTTCAAAATCAGTCAATGATCTAACGGAAAGTATTATTCACTCTCATCGACCATTCATTCATGTACGAAGATTTACCTCTGTTCATTAAGTAAACGGCGAGGAAAGTAATTGTGAGTAAATTCAATTTTTTTATTTTGAAGTTGTGAGAGTTTGCTCGTTTGTTTGCTGAAATGGCGTGTTTAACTCTAGTCTTTCCTTCACAAAAACTAAATTCGAACGGCACACTCCAACGAGACACAAGGGAATTTAATGCGGCCTTTTCTCAAAAAACATCCTTCAAATTCTGTTGTGCAATTTACGGTACAAATGTCCAAATTGAACGGAATTGGAAAGACTCACCAGGAGCGTATATTTGTTGTAGAACTTAAATTAAAACTTCGCTCGTTATTTCACTATGAACAAATTGCTCGAGAAAATTCAGATATTAAATGAATGAAAGTTCCATCGTTCAGTTTAACTGTAACCAAATACCTCACGTTTCAACTTTCTGGGTACTTTTTGTGAACGATTAAAATTAATTGCAGACGGTTTTTAGGCCGCTTGTCAACCAACGTAATGACAATATTGTTTATACAAATTCATTCTGAAACCAATATTTTTCTGTCAACCACAGTGATTTCATAGAGAGAAAAGAGAGGATTCATAAGTTATTTATCGGCTTGAGGTAGTGACCGACGTGTTTGCTTGAAAATACTGCCCAGCCGGAAAACGAGGTATATTTATGAAAAATGACAACGAAAGTTGGGATGTACTCGGCGACTCACGAAAGCGTTACCGTAGCCCGTGGGCAGAGATAGGAAAATACTGACCGGGTAAAGAACCAATCAGATTGCAAGATTCGTTACCGTGCCCTCTAAAAAAACAATAATATAATGTTATTTCATACCTCAGACAAGTTGAAAGAGGAAAAAAAACCTTTTTTGTTACTTATGCATTTTAATCTGTGAACACTGGTGAGGAAGTCTTGATTTGAATGTTGTTTTGGAAGAAAGGTTTCATTGATTATTGCAAGGTGATTGCTGTTTAGACCAAATATTTCTTTTTGCAATCGCAGATAATCTGCAAAAAATAGGAAACGAAAACAGAAAAATGGCGAAAACACATTTCAGTAGAGGTGAAACACATTTGAAATATTTCAAGAACTATTGTTCTCTCCCTCTTTAGTTGATGGACTTCGACAAAAATCAGTCTTCCTCAACAGTCAACATTCTCCTGGCCATTACAACATTTTTTGGGAATTCTCTCATCACTGTTGCTCTTCGCAAAGAATCTTTAATTCCCTGCATCCGCCGTCCAAACTCTTGTATCGTTGTCTGGCAACAACTGATCTGTTATGGCGGTTTACGAACACTGGAGTCTTTGTCAATACGAAAATAGCGCGGCCTCTATCATCTGCAAGGCAGCTCCAGAAAATCCACGGTAATGATTATGTCATAAGACGAGGAGGAAGAAGTGCATTATTAAACCCCAACATTCACAGGGTCTAGCTAAAATGCCCCTTGGGCAAAAAAATCTATGATCTCACAGGAAAATGATAAAGGATTGTGGTGACAATGGAGGGTCAGAAATAGTCACCAAAAATAGGTTTTGGGCTAAATATATTAGAATTGGAATCTCTCTATCTTAAAAAAACTGACCTAAGTCCCTGTATTATACCTACCATTGATTCTTTACATGCTTTTTTTAAGAATTATTTTCCAAAGGAAGACATAGGACCATTTCCAGCACTCTATGGTAAATATTTTAGGAATTGCATCTTACCATTTGCAGGCATTTATTTCTTTTCTGAAAAATTTATTTGCTTGTGTATGTTGAATGCCTTAACATGGAGTGAAGACTTTTCCAGCCATAGGCTCTTGGAGGATGAAAGTTTTAAAGCTCTTATTTTCAAGTAGTACGGATCTTTTTGGAAGAATTACAGTTTACAAGCTTGACGTGTTAGGTTGCTGGACATACCTATATTCCTGCATATCACGAATAATAACATTCTAGTTTTAAGACTGATGAACGTCTTCTTTGATCTATTACTGAACAGACCAAAGGTAACATGGAATCAATTTTTTATATTATAAATTGAAAAATGTTATAGGCGACGTAGCTTACGTGTCTGTCCTACATTAAGATCATAGGTAAGAACCAATCAAAATTCGTATATAATTTATCCCATCATTTAACAAATAGATAAACCTTGGCTGTACTCTGTTTTGTTATAAAGCACGCAGGAAGCGGCTAGGACACGAAAGATATGTACGTTTAGTGTTTCTCCCCTCTTCTTGAGTGCTCTAATCGCTTCCTAAGTGCTTCGCAACAGAACAGAACACAGTTAAGGCTTCTATATTGCCAAGCTAGTTGGGATACAAATACAAAAGTCCTATCGGCTACTTCTGACGAAGGTCCGCGATGATTGGAGAAAGGATATGGGCACAGAGAAGTCATGAAGGCAGCTGATGAAATCGTGCGTCAAGCTCTCTGAACCACCCCACGCCTAATCCGCAGTTCACATATATGAATCAATGTTGTACAAATTATCGCAGGCCATCCGGAATAAAGATGACAGTGAGACAGAACTGTGTGGGACATCTGTGACTTTATTTTATATTAGTCCTACTAAAAAATTATTTGGCAAACTGTTCTTGATAAGAATGAATTAAGACCTTAGTTTTAAAAGACCTCTTTAATAACTATTGATGGTCATTTTAATTACAAAAACTCACCTAACATCAAATAACAATATAAACATCTCCACTAATTCTTTCGATTGATTAAAGATGTGACCAGAACTTCCATTCCCTGTCTGATGTTCATGTGGAGACAAAGTATTACAAAATTATCTCACAGAGGGATCTTATTTAGTTTCTTTTTTTTTCCCTACGGAAAGTTAATTCAATGAGCATTCCATAAAATCTACAGAGACGTCACAAGTCTGCTGTACAATCATCAATACTGCACGAGTATAACTCGAGCAGGATCTAATTTCACAACTGGAACTTTTATGCGATTTGTGTTGTTGTATTCAAGATTAGAGCTGTCGCTTGGAAGATATTCTTAATATGTGGTCGTTTTTAGTGTTTCAATTCGCTCTCACTGTATGGAATAAAGAATATGAACAACAGCTTGATTAAACTGTGCTTCTTATTTCATCCTTCCAATAAAATAGCTAACGAGTTTTTCTTAATAATAACCGCGAACTTTAACAGTCAGCTTTGGAAGTAATACGACGATTACAACGCATGAGGCATCCAACACCGTGGACAGGAAAGTGCTTGTTTTATTATCTGCTTTACTGCTTGTCTTACTTAAAGTAAAGAAACTGGTTTAAAGTCGATATAAGGTAAACTGAGACAACTGCTATTTCCCGTATGACCCCTAGGTAAGATGGATGTGTTTTACTCTGGCTTATTACAGTAGTAACTATATTATGTGGAAAATAACAAAGAAGTCTTGTGCGGAGCAACAAGGATCAGAGAATTGCCAAGAAATGTTGTGTGGGAAAAGAAAATGTGCACCACTAGCAAAGAAATGAACCGATGATGCAACTCATCTACCAAAGAGGGGGATAAAGTAAATTCTCCAAAACTGGCGTTCATCTGTGTTCCTCCTCCTTTTGGATTAGTTGTCGACGTAATTTTGCAGCTCAATAAAAGGTCGTTTCTTTTTCCCCTCAAGATACCAGAAATTGTAACGAGAAATATTTCGTCTCCACAGCACTTGCCCGGCCACGATTACTTAGACCCTTCTCATTTATACTATATCTTAAAAGAAGACTTCCTTATTAGCGATTATTTTCTTAAAATATGTGGAAAAAACCTGCGGATCTGTTGCGTGTGATGACTGAATAAGAAGTATTTTACCACCCTTGTTATTTTTCTCTGTTTTTGTGCATCATTGCCTTAGATATAAATTGGCAATGACAGACAGGCATGGAGACATCTGCAAGATATTTAGTTCAAAGCGCTGTGAAACAAAACATTTAACTTTGGAAAACTGAAAATAAAAGATCAAGTCAAGACGTAAATCATTTCAGAAGAAGATAGAAAACAAAACAACTACAACCTCTTAATACATAAAAAAAGGAAATTTGAAAAGAATTGCAAAGTTATAAAAATACTCCTTCCCTGATGGAAAAATGATTTGTATCGTTTATGGAGCTAAAAAAATTAAAAATTTTGGAATTTTGGAGAAACATATTAGATTACATAGACGGAATTTTCATTTATAGCATGTCGACTGACTAAAATTTACTGAGGAATTCTGTTTGCTGATTTTAGTTTATTAAGAAAGATAGACTTACGTGATAGTGGCCTGGCAGGTGCCGTCAAGACATGAATAATCTTCGTTACATACAGATACAAATAACCATCAGGAAAAACGAAAAAACCGTTAATTAAGTTGTAATAACTGAAATATTTTTTTCTCGTTGCCAGGAAATGCGATTGTGCTGGTTAAGGTTTCATTTAAAATCGGTAATTATCAATTTTTCTCGTTTGATGCTCCATTGATTGCTTGAAATCGATTTTTGCAAAGCAAGCAAAAACAATGTGAAAATATGAGCAAAGAAGCACACATGTATATATTACCTCCTGTGTGTATTATTATTATGAGTGAAATCTTAATGGAAAAATCTAAAATTAAAAGTTTCTAACCAGAACAAAATTTGTAGTGCTTGACATTGTTAAGTTGTAGAACTACCGGTACTGTTCTAAATGAAAGGAAAATTCCGAGACAAAACTGAGGATTTTGCGAAAAAAAGAAAACTTGGCGGAACCTTTTAATGGTAAATTAGAAAAGTTAAAATATCATGGAATTTCCAGTTTCCAAATAATCGTTCCCTTTTTTGTTTCGTAATAAGAAACGAGGTGTTAGCTCCATTAAGAAAACACTTTGACATCTTTTAGCACACGACTTACAGATTGTTAAAACATCTTTAACAGGAAAAATGCTGTCGGAGGTTTTAAGTCAATTGTGTAAAGAAAGTGCGTTTTAATAATGATGGCTCAGCAGGTGCTGATAAGATGGAATACAAACTGCTGAAACTGAAGACGCAAAAAAGAGACAACCGTTCATTAGGCTACTTTGAAAAATGAACGGAACAAAAAATTTGGCACGGGACGGAAAGCTGCGAATATTTGATGAGCAGGCATGTTTCCCTTCTTTGGTCGGTGGATTACAACAACATTCAGTTTATTTGTCAACAGCCAACATTCTCCTTTCCCTCACAGCATTTCTTGGAAATTCTGTCATCCTTGTTGCCCTTCATAAGGAATCTTCCCTTCATCCGCCGTCCAAACTTTTGTATCGTTGTCTGGCAACAACTGATCTGTTGGTTGGCCTGGTATGCCAGCCTCTCTATGCTACTTATTGGATGTCTGTCTCTTACGAACACTGGAGCCTTTGTAGATTTGCATATGACGCATTCTCCGTATCAGCCTATGCATTATGTTCAGTGTCGTTGTTAACGATGGCGGCCATAAGCGTGGACAGACTTCTCGCCTTGTTGTTAGGGCTAAGGTACAGAGAACTCGTAACTTTGAAACGTACTTATATCATTGTAGCTACCTTTTGGGTGTTATCTGGTTTCACTGCGTTAAGCTACCTTTTAGATCCCCGTATAGCCACGTGGTATACCTCTTTAGCAAGACCATGTTGCATATTTATCGCACTGGCTTTGTACATAAAGATTTCCCGCTCGCTCAGTCGTCATCAGGCTCATGTACAAGATCACGTCCAACAGCAGCCGAACCAACCAAACGCATTGAACATGGCGCAGTACAGGAGGGCAGTGTACAGTGCCTTGTGGGTGCAGTTAGCATTAGTTGTTTGTTATGTGCCATTTAGTATAGTGGAAACTGTGATCGCTTTTAGTAAAACATATTCATTACACTTAGTCATCAACTGGGGAATAGCACTTTCCCTACTCTATTGTAACTCAACTTTAAACCCGTTTATTTACTACTGGAGAATTAGGGAAGTAAGGCGAGCGGTGAAACAGACAGTCAGACAAGCACTTCACTTGCATGGTCGAGAAGCAATAGAGACGTGAGTTTAATTTTACTTTCCTGTCTAATTTTCTTTCTTTTCAAAATCTCTCGTTTTTCCAAAATTTAACGTAACTTTTCAATTCTTTTATGTGTCCTGGTTAATTACTTACTTCTCAACTTTTTGTGGGCTAAAACAGAAACTGTGATGCTGTGTCAGTGGAGGGTATTACAAGATAATTTGGTTTTATCCACTAATATGATAATGTAAATAGGCCACCGTAAAGAGCTTTTATAGCTCACCTTTCAAGTATTAGCCTTTTTTCAGAGCGAATCAAATTCTCTTAACTTTGAAAGGGTACATTTAACAATGGATTCGTGTGTTCATTAGGATCTGAAGCACGCGGGAAGTTTTGAGAGCTTGAAAGATAAGTAAGAGTCGCTAAGGACGTAGCCGAGAGCAACAAGAAGTTCCTAAATAATAAATTTTGTTTGTGAGGGTAAACGGAATA